GAGTGGAATTTTGGGGGTCCCATGGCTCTCAGGTGGGGGTTCTCACCTTCAGGTCCCTGTGCACAATGAACTTCTGGTGGCAGTACTGCACGGCCGACACTATCTGCAGGACAGGGGGGTGTCAGGGGGAGCCCAGCCCAGCTGGGGGGGCACAGGGACACCCCCAGCCCCCTCGGGGACCCCTTTTTGGGGGAGGGTCAAACAGCATCACCCCCCAGACCTGTCGGAACTTTGCCCGGGCCTCCTTCTCCTTCATGCGCCCGTGGGCCACCAGGTAATCGAACACCTCACCTGGGGAGCACAGTGGGGGGTGGGTGAGAGGAGTCCAAGGTCCCCCCTCAGATCCCTGTGACCCCCCCAAACCCCCCAGAGCCCCCCCAAAGCCCCCCAGAGCCCCCCCAAACCCCCACTCACCCCCGCTGGCGTACTCCATGACGAGGTAAAGCGTCTTCTCCGTCTCGATCACCTCGAAGAGCTTCACTGCAAGGGGGGGCAGGGGGGTTGGGGGACACCCTGGGACCCCCCCCAAAGGCGGGGGACACCCCCGGGAAGGGGTGAGGGTGCAGCTGACGGGGTTTTGGGGTGGGGGGTCTCACCTATGTTGGGGTGGTTCAGGACCTTCATTATTCGCACTTCTCGGAAGAGCTGGGAGGGACAGGAGGGATTTTTGGGGGGTGTCAGAGGGAACAATCCCACATTTGTCACCCCAAAATCAACTGTCACCCTTCCCTCCCCCAGGGACTTCCCTCACCTTCTGCAGGCTGGAGGAGTTGAGCTGTGTCTTGTCAATGATTTTCACGGCCACCTGCGAGGGGGAGAGCGGGGTCAGAGGGTCCCAGGGCTGTCCCCAAAACCTGGTGGCACTCATGAGAGGAGAACCAGGAACCTGTCCCTGTCCCATGGTGGTGGCACCCACAGGGCAAAGTCCCAGGAAGCAGTTCCCACGCTGCAGTGGCGTTTGTGGGACAATGACCCACATCTGTCCCCACACCTTGGTGACGCTCATGAGATGAGCACCAAGAGCTTGGGACCATCCCTGTGCCATGATGGCACTGCCAGGGCACGGGTCAGGACCCAGAAGTGTCCCACACCACGGTGACAGTCTCAGCTGAGGACCAGGAAACTCATTCCTGTGCCAGGTGGCACTCCCAGGGCAGGGACCAGAACCCAGAGCTGTCCCCAAACCACGGTGGCACCCACAGGACAACACGCCTGTCCCTGTGGTGACACCCACAGGACCTCTCCCCACACCGTGGTGGCACCCACTGCTGGGGACAGGAAGCCCATCCCTGGGCCATGGTGGCACTCCCAGGGCAAGGACCAGGATGCCAAGCTGTCCCCACACTATGGTGGCACCTCCAGGACTGGCATGGGGAGCCCAGAACTGTCCCCACACGGTGGTGGCACCCCCAGGACACAGCCTGTCCCCGTGCGCCGGTGGCACCCACGGGCTGCCCCATCCCCACAAGCCCCGTGCCGTCCCCGCGGTGTCCCCACAGTGTCCCCAGGCCAGCACGGTGCCAGGACAATGCCAGGCCGGTGCCACTCACCTCCTTGCCGGTCAGGACGTGCCGGGCCAGCTTGACCTTGGCGAAGTTGCCCTTGCCGATGGTTTTGAGGAGCCGGTAGTTGCCGATGTGCGGCTGCTCCTCGGCGGCCATGCCGGCGTTGCGGCCCCGCAGCATGCTGGCCTTGCCACCGCCCTTGCCCTCCATGGTGCCCGGCTGCGGGGACATGGAGGGGACGCTCAGGGGACAGCGAAAGGGACGCTCAGAGCGGTGGCCCCGCCGTGGCCCGGGGATCCCGGCGGCTCCGTGGGCTCCTGGAGGAGCCGGGAGCAAAGTCCGGAGCGGCGGAGCCGCGCCCGGCCGGGCCGGGAGCCGCCCCCGATACCTGACGCAAGCGCGGCGGTTTCGGGCTGGGCCGAGGGGTGGGAAGGGGCCAGCGCCGGTCACCCCCTCCCCGGGAGGGGCCACGGCCACCCTGCCCCGCTCCCCTCCGAAAAAACCCAGCGTCCAGGATTTGACCCCAAACGCAAGCACCTGGACGGAGTTCACGCCCCAGCCAAAAGTGGGGTCCCCCGCTAAGAACATCATCAGCACAAAGCCCCTCTTCCCGAGCCCCAAAAGCTCCTCCCGAAGGTCACCCGCGCTTTGGGGACACTTTGGGGGTGTTCCCTGACGGGCAGCGAGGCGCCGGCGCTGAGCGGTGTCACCCCCCCGGGGCTGTCACCACTCCGATGTGTGGACACACACATTGACAGAGCCGGGGAATTACAGCTTGGAAATTCTTTTTCAGGCCTGGATTTCTCCTGACTCTCAGGTCCATTCCCAGGCTGACAAGCTGACTGCAGCTTCAGTTAGGGAGACACTCTCCCAGAATGACAACAGAATAAATTCAAAATAAAGATTAACACCTAGCGTCTTTCCCGTGGGACATCCGGACATGCTGTCCCAAAGATATTTTTCCCAATAGTCCCATGAACTCCTGTCCTGTCCTAGCTGCACGTAACACGCTTTAAACGCGGGCTGTCCGTACAATAAAGTTGGGCCTTTTTCCCCCAGAAGAGCTCCGTGTGTGTCGCTGCCTTTCCTCTCTCTGCAGCGCAGTGACCGCACCGGTGACACCGGAGATAACGGGAGCGCGTCAGCGGGCGGGGAGACCGAGCCAACCCCCGCTGCCTTTGGGGGATCTGGGGCCCCCCAAAACCCCGCCGGGTTTGTTTTCGCGGGGGCACACCTTGGGGCGCCCCCCCTCCCCCCCGTGGGAAGGAAACCGCTGGCGGAAGCCACGGGGGAGGTGCCGGCGATGGCGCAACCGAACCCCCAGATTTGGGGGGAGAACGCGGGGTTTTGGGGCCTGGGGACGGGGGGGGGCGACGGGACTGGAGCCTCCCCCTCCCCCAAAACCCAGCGCGGTGCTGTGGGAAAAGTGAAGGGAATCGGGGGTTTCTGCCAAAAAACTGCCGTGGCAACGGGGCGGGAGCGTGCGGAGCCATCTGGCCGCGCTGCCGGGATTCGGCCGGGGGTTCAGCGGCGGCACCGGCACCAGAACCCCCCGAACCTGCCGGGGGTTCAGCGGCGGCACCGGCACCAGAACCCCCCCCGAACCTGCCAGGGGTTCGGTGGCTGCACGCGGGCCGCGCTCCGGGCATTTCCTCCTCTCGGCGAGGCCCGAGTGGCCAAAACCACGGCAAAGGAGGCACCGCCCGGCACGGGTGACACCGGGGGCGGCGGGAAGGCCCCGGTGTCCCCCCTCGGTGACCGAGCCCCGCGGAGCCCCTCGTGCCTCAGTTTCCCCATCCCGCCCGCCGTGAGGGGACTCACCCTGGGCACCCCGAAGCGCCGGGAGCGGGGCGGTGCCGCCGGGAGGGAGCGAGCGGGGACCGGCCCGACCGGTTGGGGCTGAGGCCGCAGCGGGACAGAGCGGGGTGGGGCCGGCGAACACCTGGAGCGCCGGGGCGGGGAGAACGGGGCGGAAAAGGGGGAAACGGGCAGCGGGGGAAGCGGGACGGGAGGGTCCCGAAGAGCCAAAATACTGAGAATCGCCATGGGAATCATCACTGGAATTGTCATTGGAACGGTGGCGGCAGTGATGGCGCTTGGGGCTGCGGTGACGCCACCGGCCAAGGTGTGATGTCACCGGGTAGGGTGTGATGTCACCAGGTACGGTGTGACGTCACCGAGGCCGCAGTGATGTCACCGGGCAGGTGTGAGGAACCTGGTGCCGGGAGGTGTCGACGCCACCAGCAGCCACCCACGCCAAACTGGTGCCAACTGGTGGCAATGAGAGCAGCACCGGTGTCACCAGGTGTCCCCAGCACCGGTGTCACCAGGGACGGGGTGACCGGCACCCCCCAGCACGGCACAGCGGTGGCAGCCGGGGCGGCAGCGCTGCTTCGTGTGGCGCCGCTCAAATGTCAGCCAAATTTAGGTATTTTTGAGGATTTTTTTTTTTTTTATCTCCAACCCCACCAGATCGGGCTCCGTGTGAGGGAGGAGTTGGGGTTTGGAGGGGGGGGGGCTGGGAAAGACCCCCCGATTTCGGCTGCTGGCGTTGAGGGAGATGCGCAGCCCCCCCCACACGGCGCTGCCGCCCCCTCCCCAAATCTTCCCAGCCAGGAATAATTTTGCTCTGGTGTTACATAACAGCGGATAAAAGAGAGGAAAAGCACCCAAAAGGAGGAGGGGGGAGCCCGGTGCCACAGCCAGGGCCACAGAACAGGTGGCATCGCCTTGTCCTGTCTTGGGGACAGTGACACGAGGCCACCTGTGCCCTCACACGCCCTGCTGGGGTCACTTTTCAGCTCCCGCGGGGCCCCTCGGGCACAGAAGGGGGGAAGCGCCCCAAAATCTCACCCAAAACGGGGGTGTGACACAGCTGGGGGGGCTGGGGAGCCCCCCAGGTGCTCCCCAAATGGGCTGAGCCAGCAGTGCGGGTTCCCTCCAGCAACAGAAGCTGGAGGCAGACAGAGACCCCAAGAGCCCCCCAAATCCGCCCCCAAAACGGGGAACCCCCCTCCCAGCTGCCCCCAAAGGGGTTTGGGCCTCAGCGCCTTCACAGCCCCCAACTCACAAGGGGGTGAAGCCCCCCATTCCCCACCCTGGAGGGGGCTGGTCCCTGCTCCCAGCGCTCAGAACTGCAGAGATTTGGGGGGGGGTTCACCCCTCAGAGCCCCCCCAAAGCCCTGGGAGGGCGCTGAGCCCGAGCAGCGCTGCCGCCGCCCCCACAGCCCCCCCCGTTTGGGGGGGCCGCAGCAGGGAAGGGGGTGGGGAAGGGGCTGGGCTGACGCCCCCACACCCCGATCGTGCAGCCACCGAGCTGGGGGGGGGGGGGACGACAATGACACCCCAAACCTTCCCCCCCCCACAGCCGATCCCAGACCCTGCGGGTTCAATGTGGGGATCTGGCACCCCCCTGCTTGCCCCTCTCCCTTTGGGGTGCAAGGCTTGATCCCCTCACCCAAAATGTGGGGTCACGCACACAAACCCCTCAGCAGCCCCTCAGGGAACCCTGAAATGGGACCCCAAAATTTGGGGAGGGCCTCATGCCAGCAGAACCCCAGAGCACTTTACACCAAATCCAGCCCCGAAGGGCGGCCACGGCTCAGGACCCCCCACCCCACAGGAGGGTCTGGGCCGTGGGAGACCCCAGGGTCCTTCATGGGGGTGCAAGAGAGGAACTGGGGGGACCCTTAGACTCCCCCTTTCCAGCTCACAGAGGGACCACAAGCCCCTCAGAGCCCCCTGTTCCCTCACAAAACAATCCCAGAGCCCCTCAGTCCATCCTTTCCCTTCATAGAGGGATCCAGATCCCCCAAATCCCCCCGTTTTCTCCACGTAAAACGCCCCAAGATCCCCTTTTCCCTCTCCCAAAAATGTCCCAAGACCCCCTCAGACTCCCTCATTTTCCCTCTCAGGCCCCCTTTTTCGCCTCAAAAATCAACCCAGGTTCCCGTCAAACACTCTTTTTACCTCACAAAATCCCCCAAATCTCTTTCAGGCCTGACTCCCCCCTGACAAACAGACCCCAGACCCTTTTCCTGTCACAAACCGGGCCAGGGCCGCCCCAGTCTCCCCTCACACAACAACCCCAGACTCTCCCAGCCCCCCTTTCCCTCTCGGATCCCCGTTTTCTCCCCCCTTCAAAAAACAGCCCAGGTCCCCCTCAAAACAACCTTTTAACCTCACAAAATGACTCAGGCCCCTCTAACATTGCTTTTCCCCTCACAGACCGATCCCCGACTCTCCACTCCCCTCACATTAATGCCTCAGACCCTCTCAGCCCCTTTTTTATTCCACACGGACGGGATCAAAACCTCCACAATCCTGCTTTTTACGCTCTCAGATCCCCCCTTTCCCTTCACAAATCAGTCCACGAGCCCCTCAGAGCCCCTTTTTTCCCCTCCTTCCCCTCCCAAACCGACCCCGAACTCCCCTTTTCCCCTCACAAACCGGCTCAAGATGCCCTCAAACCCCTTTTTCGTCCCTCAGATCCCCCTTTTCCCCTCACAAAATCCCCCCAGACTCCATCAGTCCCCTCCTCCCCTCACAAAATTCCCCTTTTCCCCCCCTGCCGCCCCTCTCCCCTCACGCCGGAGCCGGGTCCCCCTTCATCCACCTCCGATCCCCGCCGTCCTTCCCTCACCTGTTCCGCGTCCCTCTCGTTGACGGTCGGCAAAGGGTTGCGACCGCTGCTCGACATGGCGGCCCCCCCCCCGCGCCGCCGGCGACTATCGCGATAGGGGGAAGCCGCGGCAGGCGGTGTGCGGGGAGGGGGAAGGGGAAGCGGGGGAGCTCAGGGAGCAGGGGGGGGCCAGGCCAGCGGCATTGGGGGGGCCGGGAGAGGAGCAGGGGGAGCGGGCGGGGTCCGGCCCGGCCCGGCCGCCGCCGCCGCCGCCTCACGCCGCCGCCGCCGCCGCCTCAGCGCCCCACGGCTCCCAACATGGCCGCCGGCCCTCGGCCATTTCCGCCGCCGCGCCGGAAACACCCGACACGCCTCCCCGTGCCGCTTCGGCTCTTCCCGGAGAGGTTCGGCTAGCGGCCGTCACAGGTTTCGAGGATTTCCGCCTCCGCCACGGAGTTACCCGAAGCTTCCTTCGGTACTTTCCGCCGAGCGCCGCGGGAAGAACCGAGCGCCGCCCGCGCCGCTGCGACCCCGACTGGAGCCGGAAATACCCGAGGGAGGCCGAAGCACCCGAGTGGATGCGGAAATACCCGAACACCTCTTGGCAGCCTTCGGGCGCTTCCGCTCGTGACGGAAACACCCGAGCGGATCCGAACCTCCCTCCCCAGCCCTGATGGGGACCCCAGGATGGGGTGGGGGCGGAGGAACACAAGAACCGCCCCGAATTTGGGGGGGCTCTCCCGGACACCTGGACCCTCCCCGAATTTGGAGGGGCTTCGCTGGACCCTGGGTTGTCCCCGATTTGGGGGAGAAGGAAGCTCCTGTCCGTACTGGGAGCACTGGGAGGGGGCACTGGGAGGGAGCACACATGGAGGGGCGCGTCCTCATCCCCACCACGCCCCCTTTGGACCAAAGGGGCGTGGCCGAGCCGGGGGAGGGGGGATTCCATGGGTGCCTCATCCCTCCGGGCACCCCTGGGGGGTGGGGGGATGGCGGGGGGTGCATGGGGAAGGGGAGCATCCAGGGGCTCACCCTTCCTGCCGTTCTGGGGGAATCCCCCTTTAAAATCATCGCTACAGCTTTTCTGGGGAGGGGGGTGGGCTCAGACCTGCTGGGGACTCCTCACCCCCCCCCCCCCC